CTTTCGGCTACAGTGAGAAAGGAAAAATTCCAAAGCCAGAAAAGTCAAAACTGTAAGCAGCCGGAGCACCAGGTAGCTCCGCTACCAGTGTGAAAGGGATTTCTCCCCTTCCCACTGGTAGCCCAAGATCTCAGCAATCCCTGATTGTCAGAAATGAAAGTGGTCCCACCACTGAAATGATGTAAAAGATCCCTGTCTTCTCTGAATGAAATCCGCAGCAGCAAAACGTTGTTTTCCTCCCAAGGAAATGGCTCAAGCAACGGTATGGTGTCCAACACCAAGAAACCACGGCCCACCCTCCACTGGCACTTGTGCCATATGGGCCATCGGAACATGCTGGTGGTATGCAAGGTTCACATGCAGTCACATCAAGGCAAGCATCAGGGTGGACATGTTACATACAAATCACAGTATGCATGCATGCATGTATGTATGTGTGTATGTGTGTATATGCGTATATGTGTATATATATATATGTGTGTGTAAACATATATATTTGTTTATATGTAAAGAATGAATATCCATATGCAAATAAGTATGTGAATAATAATATATACACATGACAACTAAGAATATTTTTTGCAAATACATTTATATATATATAGAGCATATATACATATATTTATACAAGGCTGAAAATATGTATAAATTAATATATAATATATATATATATATAAGGTTTGGCCTTAAGGGTGGCAGCTTTGCGACTTCCGCTGCTGCCCTAGTCATAGACCTAGGGGCGTTTTTTGATGGTCATTGAGCACCTCGTGTTTTTGCTTTTGTGCTCTGCATTCAACCTGTGCAGCTTTGGTGATTCCTTTGAGAGAACCCGGTTGGCACCGCCTTGCCTGGCGGAAGAGACAGAGGGTGCGGACTTTCATCAAGGGTTTCAAATTTCAAAGGATTGGGAAAAAGCGAAGGAGGAAGATCAGGCGTTTGGCTGCAGTCTTGCAGTCTCACCACACGTGGAACCCAGAAGAGGTACCTGCCTCCATACGCTACATCATCGACATGACATGGCTTTGCAGAGCCTGCGAAGTTCAAAATCCCCAGCATCTAGAGTGGTGCCGCAGTTGCAAACAGCACTGGGGCGAAGCCTGGAAGCCGGCGAAAGGAAAGACAAGAAGCAGGAGCAAGTTTCAAAAATATGCGAAAGGGACGACATCGGATACAGAGAAGAAAGGAGACGAATAGCAAGTTTTTCAGGAAAAAGTCCCCTGGGTGCAGTCCACTCCAGCTCGTTCTTCGACGTACAGGACAGACAATCCGATGACGGCTATGGGGAAGGATTTGCAGCTGCCGCCGCAGCCTGTCCTGCCCCCACCACCACCCCTGCCAAAGGAGGTGGAGGAAGAATCTCTTTCGGCAGAAGAGCAAAAGCTCCTGGAATACCTACGTGGATTGAGTGGCATGGGCATGGATCTCCCTCAACAAATGAGCCAGCAGTTGAAGGAGCTGGAGCAAAAGGAACAGAGGGTCCTGTCAGCCAAGGCGTTGTCCCATGGACATTTGAATCGACTCAGTCGTTTGAAGAACCAAGTGTCTGGGGCAGCCAAACGCATCAAGGATTTAGATGCAGAATGGAATGCCTTCATGGAAAGAACCATGGCTCGTGTCAAGGAACATGCAGCGCTTTTCCAGGGATGTCATTCAGATCTACTAGAAGTTTACAACCAAAAGCTTCAGGAGTTGCATGCTCTGAAGGAAGAGGTTTCAGTAGCATCCAGAAGCCTTGTGAACCAGCCAGCACTGGATTTCTCTGTCGAGGAAATGCCAGCACTCCCTTCACAGATGGCAGAGATACAGATGTGTCAAAAAATGGAGGTGCAGTGAGCCATGCTGGAGAGATAATAGAGCCAGTGGATTTGACGGAGCCTATGGAAGAGGAGGAATTGATGGAGGAACAGCCAGATCGCAAGGAAGGAGAAATCAGGACAGAATCGACAGCATTGAAGCCTTTCCGATCAGTAGCCTCGCCAACCGGAGTGGCAAAGTCTCATCTGAAGAGCAAGACAGACAAGCATGTAAGAGAGAAGGAATCCAAACACAAGGAGGACAAAGGAGAAGCTTAGAGAGACATCGAAGCAGTGATGTCTTCGTATTTCCTCTTGCTCCCGCATGTTCTTCATTGTCTTTTGCTTCTATGAAAAGGGCACTGAGAAGTTTTTGCATTGAGCCACCTGATGTGGATCTTTCATGGTTGCATCAGGATCAAAGCTTGGATTGCGATTGTGGCGGCATTGCCAGTAAGGAGGGTAACGTGGATCTCCTTTTGGCCAATGATCTTCCTTCTCCATCACATTGTGAACGCATGGAGGGTAACTTGGATGTCCATATGGTTCACACGATTTTGACAAAAATGATGCCAGTGTTCAAGGATGGCGAGATGTGGGTCCTTTACATCCTACAAACACTGGCTTTGATGGCAGTTTCAGTATGGATCTTCCTGAAGACATTTTGGTTGGCGATGGGGTATTGCACACCATGCCAGAGGAGGTTCAAACTGAACTTGAAAGCAAGGAGGACCAATTCCTCTTTGAACAGGATCCGTATCAGAAGTTGCCTCTCTCGAATTTTTTTCGGCATGAAGGGGCAGCTCATATCAGTGATTTGCAAAATGAGACATCGATGCACTTGTCGACGGATGCTCCTCTTGTTTTTGAAAGATCTGGAGTGCGGCAGTGGGAGTTTGAGCCTCATGTGGTTGATGATGGAGCCTCTCATAGCCCTTTGGATCTCAGCAAGAGACAAATTGAGGGTCAAGTTGTTATGCAGTCTTATGAATTGGTCAGGAGGGCCAATGAATGGTTGCATCGATGGGGAGAACATCAGAGCGTGTGTCATCACAGAACTCGAAAGCATGTCACTTTTCATGACAAGGTGCAAGTATTTTGCTTTCACGAGGAGCAGACATGTGCTTTTGAGATTGATGAGGACAAGCATGAATGGTGGCTGCGAAATCTTTGGCATTTGCATGGTCATATCATGTCAGGGGATATGTTGACCTTTTACTCAGCCAATTTCCGGTCTTTTTGTTTTCCATTGCAGCAGATGACACACCATGAGGAATTGGGAAGCGGCCAACTCATTGAAATTCACCCTCCAGGGTTTGCGGCCAGGGCGGCTGTTTTCGGTGACATGCATGATGCTGCAGATGTGTGGGGAAGATGCTGGATGGAAAACATGCAATATTGGAGGCAACATGAAAGGGTTGTCATGGGGCGTTTCATTGCTACGTGGTTCCTTTCCAGAGACCATGTTCATGTATGTGTGCAACAGCGTCGTGTTCGCATTCATGATAGCATGTCGGCCTCGGATTTTCAACAAGCTTGCCGTCAAACATGGCAGGATCATATTCTCTTTTCCGATCATGAACTGGATTTTCACTTTGTGCACCCGAAGCCACCGGGGCTGCCGAGCACGCTTGCTCATGTGATTATTGTCCAGGGAGATCAGGAACATTTCAATTGTGTACTCTACCAAGGTGACACCCTCCCAGCAATGAGGAGACAAAGGGCTGTTTTGTTTCGTGAGGGTATCTCTGTTCGAGACTTCTTTGTTGAGGCGCAACATCCCAGTGCATGTCAGATTTTGCGTGCAAGATGCTTCATTCAACATCGCAGGGGGCATATTGGGGTTTTGCTCAACGAAAATGAACAGATGGATGTGCCGAAGGCGACCTTTGTGTCTGGAGAGGTGCGTGTTGTGGAAGAGGACATTGAAGAAGATGGAGAGATCTCCGATGAGGATGTGGAATCATTGGTTACGACCAATGTGCCAAGTAGTATGCATTCCCTTCAAGGTAGTGAAGACATAGATGTGTTGTCACAGGATGATGAGCGAAGCACACATGTCTGGAGTTGGGAACGATATGGAAGTGGCACACAACATGGAGAAAATAATGATGTTAATCTTATGTCGGGATCTCCGGTTATGATGCAATTTGATCATCCAGACCCTTATCCCTGGCAGATCGAACCGCATTTGGAACATGTTGAACCTGAAGGGGAAGAGATTGATACTATCTTCGCTGACCAACACCAGCAGCAACTGCAGAGTATGTGGATCAAGCTCTGCAGGGTGTGGAAACAGCGGATACAGTTTGGCAAGCAATCACGTATGGAGTTGGGCTTTTGGATTTGGGAAGGAGGGATTTCCCCTTCAACCCTTTGAGGCTCAATGAATGGCCGGAATTGGTGCAGCAAGCTTGGTGGGATCATGCCCAATATGGAAGGCTCACTATTTCCCTGTGTTTCCACAGCCGAGCGAGCTGGGGGGCCTTTACTCCATTGTCCTTCTTATACGTGTGGCCAGTCCTGCAGACATGGACCCTGATGTTCGAAATGTGCTCATCACTCAGAAAGGTGACCCTGCTGCAGGGATACGACCAGTTTCCTATGGTGCCAAGGTCTTGACTGGCTCAACGGCAAGGGAGATGCTCATCCATTTGGGACTACACATAAAGTGCAAGCCATTCACGATGCGAAATTGTGAGATTCGGTTGGCACTGAAACTATGCAGGATGAACTGCCCTATGAATTCGACGATGGTTTATGGTGCTGCCCTGCTTTTGGAAAATTGCCGGATCATGTTTCCAAGAATATGGAAAGGGTTGAACAAGTTGAGCAATTCTACCTACAGGTGGAGGACTATTTCTCTCTGCGACCTGAAGCCAATAACATAGTGTGTCATGTGCATGGAGTGTCTCCTGAAAATCGGCCAATGGGATACCGAGTTTTGGTTTGAGCGAGCACGAATTGCAAGGGAATGGTTGGATCGAGAAGATGTGGCGACTGTGGCCTTTTGATCACCCTTATTCTCCGATCACTTTTTGCCCTTTTGCTGTCCCTGACATGCATGATTGCCAAGAAATGATCTTCCATTTTGCGGTGGACTACGGATCACGTGATGGTGTCACTGTTTTGGTAAGGCAGGAGATACAGATTGCTGATGACATCCCACGTGGAGTGCCAGGTTTGCATGAATTCTGGGCTGTTGTCATGCCACACATGGAAATCAGCGAAGATCCGATGGAAGCTCTTGAGCATCCCCCTTTCTGGCAACGATACATCCGCACTCAAAACATGCGCATGCATATGGTTGTCAATGCAGGGCGATACTACGATGTTGTGGGTCCCTGGCATGATGGTGATGTTCGTGTCATGAAGGTTTATGTGGCTCAGAAGGCACAGGCATTGGCCATAATGCTTCGTGAAGGGTACATTCCAGACCCGCAAACTGATGAGCTGATCACGGAGCAGGTGGGAGCAGCTCTTCAAAAGGCAGAAGCACCAGACAGCAGCTTCTGTGAGATTTGCATACATCTGAGAGAGAAGCCATGGCAACAGGTGGATGAAGCTCATGCCACTGACAATTCCAAAGGTCGTTTGCGGAGAGGTGAGGGGGGTAACTTGGATCCCCTCAATCTCCACGGCTCTTACAAATCAACCACAAGAAATGATGAGAATAATTTGGATGCCTCTTTGCGGCACAGCCATGTGGATAACACGGTTTCATTGGGTGCCAGGGCAAGGTTTTCTCATCACCCATGAACTATCAGAAGGATGGCACCATGATTGGGGCATTGAGAGATGGCTTGTCCTTGCTTTTCATGGAAGGATGGAAGGGGTTGAATCAAGATTTTTCTCAAATTCCTTACCTTCACCCATTTGCGAGGATTGCCAGTCAGCAAGTGGAGAGTTATGATAACATCCGCAACATTTTCCATGTTTTCACTGATGGATCGTGCAAGAGACACAATGCAGCATGGGCTTTTGTGGTGTTGTGCGAATGCCAGACACAAGCAAACAAGCATTTCATCCGCATTGGTTATTCCAGTTATGCTGCAGGAATGTTGGATGAAAGTATTGGCAAGACACGGCATACAGCTGCGGATGCTGAGGCTACAGCCATCATTGCAGGAGCTGAATTTTTGCTTGCCAAGCAATGCACCTCAAACATGAAGATCTTCTTCCATTATGATGCCCGGGCAGTTGGACATGGAGCATGTGGCACACAGAAGGTGGTATCGCACACGGATGATTATTCTGACAGGCAGCAAGCTGCCCGTATTCTCCTGTCTATTTTGCAACAACGGGCTGAGGTTGTGAAAGGTCTTCATGTGAAAGCGCACGATGGTCATCCATGGAATGAGTGTGCTGACAGCATTGCTGGGTTGGTATGCAGTGGATGGCAACCCCCAATCCAGGCGGAGTTGCGCTCTGGAAAGCTGCTGTCGAATGCCCTGCGGGAATGGGCTTGGGTCGAAGCAGCACCATCGGATGGTATGCCTTCTCTGGAGATCATTTTGCACAATGAGAGAGCGACGGATCCGACTCTAAATCTCCAGAATGGGAAAGGGGATCAGGCCAAATCTCGTCCTTTTTTGGACGAAACTCAGGATGATCTTTGTCAAGTTCACCAAGTACGTTTTGCAACTGCTAACGTGGGCACGATGGAGTACAAGGGTGGATCTGAATGTTGCAGTGTCAAAGCGAATGAGCTTTTGAGGCAATGTCAGCATGAAGGCATACATATTTGTGCCATTCAGGAGTCCAGAGCTTCAACTTCCAGGATGGTCATGAATGGACCCTTCACACGCTTTATTGCTGAAGGCAACAAGGGTCAAGCTGGAGCGGAGTTATGGTTGAAAGTGGAGGAGATCTCAAAAATTTTCCATTGCAATTTCCACCCTGAAAAGGATGTCTGCATTTGGCACAGCTCGGAACGCATTTTGGCAGCGAGATGCCAATTTGGGAAGCACTCCTTGGAAATTATTGTCTTCTATGCCCCACAGCGTGGAAGAGGAATACAAGAACAAGAAGCATGGTGGACACATTTCAAGAATGTTTTACAGAACAGAGACATGCGAGCAAGGCTTTTCATTTTGGGTGATGGGAACTGTAGTGTTGGAAGCATTGAAGATGGAGCTGTTGGTTCTTTGGCAGCGGATATCGAAGATGAAGGAGGAAGGCACCTTCATGACATCTGCACCCAAGAGAATTTGATGATTCCTTCCACCTTTGATCAATGGCACAATGGGCAAACGCATACTTTCATCAGTACGAAAGGAGGGCGATCGAGAATTGATTTCATTCTCATTCCTCAGGAGTGTGCTGCAAATGTGGTCAGATCATTTGTCAACCTTGATTTGGATTTGATGAATGGAGATCGAGATCATCTTGCCTTATGCCTGGACTGTGAGATTATGGTTGGCGAGAAAGGAGTGGTCAGGCGCTTCAACAGGCATCGGCTGTACAATCGTGGTGAGGCTCGAAAGCAGCAACAGCAGCAAAATATTCGAGATGTGATTGACGGCTGTCCAGTTGCAGATTGGTCGACTGATATGAATGACCATTGGGACATGGTCCGCCACCATTTTCAAATGAAAGCCAAAGCCCTTTTTCCATGCCAAAAAAGACAGCAGAGACAGTTGCATTTTTCTTGCGAAGCTTGGGATGTCCTTTGCAATCGCAAGGAAATCCGAAAACAATACAGAGAATTACAGAGAGGAAAGAATCTCAATTTGCTGAAAGCGATGTGGCACTCATGGAGGTGTGCAGCTGGACAAACCATGGAGGAAGTGGATTTTCGCATGCCGCTTCATTTGCTCAGATGTCAGGAAGCTATCACCTATGAGGCACGCATGAAGGCAGATAGAGATTTCAAAGCAATCAAAAGGAGAGATTGGAGAAAGTGGATTCAGAAACAGGTGAATGAAAAGGTGACGGCAGCCCAAGGGGTGAAGTCGTCGGAGTTGTTCAAAATCTTGCGGCCCAAGCAGATGATTGCAAGAAGTGCTGGCAAGCTCATCAGACACCTCCCGGGCCTTATTGGACAGGATGGGCAGTTCAAAAGGGACCGTGATGAAGTTGCTGTGGAGTGGCAAGCGCAGTTTGGAGGCATTGAAAATACAGAGGAGGTCTCTGTGGCAGAGCTGCTGAACAGATCTTGTCAACAATGTTTTGAGCAGCGCACTGGAAATGACCTTTTGCAAGTGCCGACCCTTTACCAGTTGGAAGGGGCCATTCGTGCGTTACAAGCTGAGAAAGCTCCAGGTTTGGATGACATTGGAGCAGAATTACTTCAAGCTGATCCGAGCAAGGCTGCTCAAAAGCTCTTTCCACTTCTGCTGAAAGCAGCTGTGAGAGGGCAAGGTGTCATGGAATGGGCTGGAGGATGCTTGCTCCCTCTTTTCAAAGGGAAAGGCAACCCACAGAGAATGGGGGGATATCGTGCAATTCTCCTGGAATCAGCTGTGTCCCGAGCAATGTCAAAAGCCTGGCGACCAAGGCTCACAGCAGGTCTTTCACAGGTTGCTCGGCCGATGCAATGGGGTGGAAGACCAGGTTTGTCTATTGAAGCTTTGCACTTACACATCCATTTCTGGAAACGGAATGCGAAAAGAAGGCGGGTTTCTCATGCTGTTATTTTCCTGGATATCAAGGCTGCATTCTATTCCGTGGTCAAACAAATGGTGGCAGGAAAGACAAAGGGGATGCAGGACCTTGACAAAGTTTTCAGCAGGATGGGGTTACCAGAACACATGAGAGAAGACTTTTTACAGCAGACAGGGAATGTCAATCTCTTGCAGGAAGCCACGAGCTCTTCGCTGGTAGCCGGAAGTATGGCGGCTATGCTGGGGCATACTTGGTTCATCATCCCGGAAGCCAAATCAATCCAAGCGCCTATGACAGGCTCCAGGCCTGGAGATCCCAACGCAGATGTGTTGTTCTCGCTGGTGCTGGCGAAAATGTTGAGAGACATTGAACAGAAGGCGATGGAACAGGGATTGGAACTTTCCCATGAAACTGTTGCTGGGGATGTCTCAGATGTGGTTACTTGGGTTGATGACATTGCGTTTTCCATCACAGGAGGGGCACATGTTTTGGTGGACAAAACAATGCAACTGCTCACAATTGTCCAAGACACTATGTTGGAGCATGGCCTTTCCCTGTCGTATGGTGTTGGGAAGACAGCTGTCATGTTCTCATTCCATGGAGAAGGTGCAATTGCAGCAAGGCAGGAGACGGAGCAGAAATATCAGGATGGGTTACCACTTCTCAGTGAGTACAAGGGCCAAGTCAAGATTCCCCTGGTTAGCCATTATCGATACCTTGGAGGTTTCGTGGTCAGATCGGGTTCACGTCTGCCAGAACTTCGGGTGAGGACAGCAGGAGCTATGGCTAAGCTCAAACCTTTGAGGCGGGTCCTCACTCATCCTGATTTGCTACCTGAGCAGAGAAGCAGACTGGTGAAAAGTTTGGGGTTATCTGTCTTCACTTTGCATGCTGGCACACTATATGCTCTCACACAGGGAGAATTTCGTCAGTGGCAGGCAGGGATATACAAAATTTATCAGTGTATACACCAGCGTACACAAGAAGGTGATGTGCAGCACTTTACATTGTACCAGCTGGTGAACATGTTGAGATCACCTATGCCGATGGAGCTCATTCATCTCAGCAGGTTGCGTCTACTTGCACATATCATTAAAGCTGGGGATGCACCTATGATTGCTGCTGTCATTGAGAATCATGAGATTGAGAGGGACGAGTCATGGTTGCAAGCGGCCTTCAGCAGTCTTCGATGGTTGACACAGCAAGTTGGGGAGGAAAATGTACCTGAAGAATTTTTCCAGCTTGACCAAGCGCAGGTTTGGGCTTGGTTCAGACCAGGAGCCATGGAGTTCAAAGGCCTGATCAAAAAGGCGGAGTTGGCACATCTCTGCAAAATCGAATCATTTTGTGCTTTACATCAACAAGCCAAAGAGCAGGACCAGATCCTGAAGGAGATGGGGTGGACCTACAATGGTGATGATGAAGAACAAGGTACACAGGATGCCAATTTGTTTTCATGTGATGAATGTGATGCATACTTCACACTCGCATCATCATTAGCGGTTCATCAGCAAAAGAAGCATGGTAGACGGGTTGCTCTGCGGAGGGTGGCATGTGATGCTGCGTGTAGAGCATGTGGCCGTTTTTATCACACCAGGCCAAGACTCATCAAGCACTTGCAGACAGCTCAATCAGGTTGTTGGCAATTTCATCTCAGAAACTACGTTCCCATGACGGAAGAGGCCACTTTGCAACTGGATGAAAGGGACTGCAGATTGGGTGTTGCCACACACCAAAAAGGCCTCATCGACCATTGTCTGGATCATAGATGGCGTTGGTGTACTGAGCAGGAAAAAGAGAATGGCATGGCCTTGAAGCATTCAGAGGTGCAATGCGAAGGTGAACCCTCACAGCATGAGCTCCAGGAGTGGGCTGAACTTGGGATGTTGCCACCGGGACAAGGTGGACGTGCTCGAACCAAGAGGCTTAGCAAGTTCTGGGTTGTTCACAATGTGGGGTATGATGCAACGGCCTTGGAACAACAACTGGTGGACAGAGTCCAAAAGTGGGCTCCCAACCATGATTGGATTCCAAGAGGGCCAGCAGAGGGTCGAAGGTTTTCGCCATCGATATGAGGATCTCGCCACCTTCATTTGGTGGAAATCGGATTTGATTCCGATTTGCATTGATGTTGCCATTGATGCTGAGGCTGGCAATATTTTGGAGGATGGTTTGTGGCGATCCCTGATTCATGCCAGGCGTGTCGCTGGCGGACATGCCGGACCGCCCTGCGAGACATATTCACTGGCGAGATGGCTGGAAATGGCGAATCAGATTTATCCTAGGCCTCTGAGAAGTTGCGAATACCCTTGGGGGCTGGATGGGCGAACTTTGAAAGAGACAAGGCAGTGGCTGATGGGGAATCTTCTCATGTGGCGGACATTGTCATTGCTTCTGCTCATCTATGCATATGGTGGCTCTTTCACCCTCGAACACCCGAAAGGATGTGGAGGAATAAACAACAGATGGATGATTTAGGATTCTTCCTTTGTCAAGCAATTGTTGCTGGCAGGAGATATTCGCATTTGGACCATCTTGCAAGGTCCCCTGGGTAGGCCTTTTGCCAAACCCACCAATCTTCTTGCTGCGAGGTTGGAGCGTTTAGGAGAGGCCATGTACAAGGGATACGACAAGAATTGGAAGCCTACTATGACACTGGGTGGCAAGGATGGACATCATTGGCGTACAGCCCAGGCCAAGGCCTATCCGCCAGCGATGTGTAGGATTCTAGCAGAACAGCACATGTCTTTTGCAGCATGCCAGACCAGCGATGGAGTGTCTATGGAACCGGAAGGGCTCCAAGAAGTGTTGGAAATTCTGACGAACACCTATGATCCGTATCTGCAATGTGCCAAAGGAACCACGATGTGCTCTGATTACTATTGCAAGGCAGCCAGGGGAATGTAGTAGTCTCCCAATGCGGATGAAACGAAAAATTTCCCAAAATTCATTCTCACAACCATGGATCGCTCACAGCGAGCTTTTGATCCGTGTAGCATGCCGGCGACTTTGGAGAGTCACAAGCAGAGTGGAATGAAAAAATGTAATATATATGTATAGAGAGAGAGGGAGATAGATTAGATAGATAGATAGATAGATAGATAGATAGAAGAAGATAGATAGAGAGTTAGATAGATAGATAGATAGATAGATAGATAGATAAGATAGATAGTATAGATGATAGATTAGATCGATATGATAGATTAGAGAGATAGAAGAGAGATCGATAGATAGATAGATAGATCGATAGATAGATAGATAGATAGATAGATAGATAGATAGATAGATAGATCGAAGATAGATAGATAGATAGATAGATGATAGATAGATTAGATAGATAGATAGATTAGATAGGATGAGATAGATAGAGAGATAGATAGATAGATAGATAGAAGATAGATAGATAGATATATGGTAGTAGATAGATAGATAGATAGAGAGAGAGGGAGATAGATTAGATAGATAGATAGATAGATAGATAGATAGATATGCGTAAATAAAGTTGAAAAGTCGAAAAGTATATGTTTTGACTTTTTACTTTTTGACTTTTTGAATTTTTGACGGATGCCTTCTCAGCCGAACATGCGCAGCTAAGAGTGCAAAAGTCAAACCGTTGAGAGGGAAGAAGAAAAGCCGAAAAGTCAAAAAGTAAAAAGTCTAAAAGTATACGTTTTGACTTTTTACTTTTTGACTTTGTGATTTTTTTGCCGGATGCCTTTTCAGCTGAACATGTGAAGCTAAAAGTATAAAACTTAAACCGTTGAGAGTCGAGAGAAGAAGAAAAATCAAAAAGTCGAAAAGTCGAAAAGTATACTTTTTGACTTTTTACTTTTTGACTTTTAACTTAAACGGTTGAGAGTCGAGAGGGAAGAAGAAAAGTCGAAAAGTCGAAAAGTCGAACAGTGCACTTTTTGACTTTTCACTTTTTGACTTTTAGAATTTTTATCGGATGCCTTTCCAGCCGAGCATGCGCACTTCTTTTTTTTCCAGCTTAGGGAGCCCGGTAACTCTTCAAAAGCTTCAAAGGACCCCTCAAAAATGCATCTTTCAAAGGTTTCTGGAGATGACCGAGACCCGGGGGAGAAAAGGCGGTAAAAAAAGGAAATTCGACCTCGGGGGAGTTCATCGTCAGAAATGTCAGCTTGAATCACTTGAAGAAGGTCAATGAAGATCATTGGGGAGTTGTGGATGCTATCAAGAACGAGTTGACCAGTGCTCCAATGGATCCGATGCATGGGTACATACAGGGACAAGTTCTACAGCTTCTTCAAGAAAACTGTGAAGATCTCGAAGAAGAACTTGAAACTATGGAATCGGCAGAGGTCATGGAGGAAAGGCGTGTGTGTCAAATGAAGGTATGTGCGGCGCAAGCTGATGGCACTGGGGGAGAAGACCACAGCGAAACTAACTGTAACTGTGCCTCTCCACAAGGTGAGAATGGAAAAAGAAAATGGTATGATTCCATGCTCGCTGAGTACAAATCTCTAACTGACATCATATAAAACGCCAACCCCGCCTAACCCGCTCCCAACATGAAAGCCTACGGCACCAGATCTACTAAGACGACATGAAGCAACCCTGAACGGGGCCTTTTGCAACGGTCAAAGCGGATATGCGTGAAAGATTGTGACAGTATATTTCTACGAAAAATTAGGTTCACCCCGTTCCCAACTGGAAAACGCTTACACGGCTTGCACAATTTTGATCAGAGAATTGTGCATACTTTTTGGGCTAGAATGATCAGGCAGTTTCCATGGTTGAATTCAAAAGACCTCGGAACAGAAGAGAATCACACTTGGGGAGCTTGGGATGGGCTGGCAGACAAAGTTCATGAGTGCATCCAACTGGAGAACGACAACCCACAGATTGATGTGCAAGAAAAGCCTTCGAATGTATCTTTGCGCAGATTTCTAGGGGCCGGTTGGGTTCGAGGGTGCGGTGCCTCCCAACAATGCAAAACCATTGGTCACTTTTTACGTTGCTACAATGCTTTACATATCTTTATATATCTTTATATATCTTTACATATCTTTACATCCTCATTGCCATTGTTGCGCTTCTTGTTGGCTTTTCTTCCAAATCTCTGCTTTCGCAGGTTCCCTACTTATAAAAATGTCGGCAGGTGTAGACTCAAGGGGTCATGAAAAAGTTCATTTCAAGTGGCCGGCGCTGTTGACATTCGGATGGTGTTTTTAACCATGTGTTTAAAGCGTTGTGTGAGTTGTGTGAAAGGCTTGGTGTTGATGTGGTGTAGGTACAGCACTTCCGATGTCTTGGCTTCTACTGGGGCCATTTTCGGTCGCAGGCGTCGTACTTTAAAGGCTAAAAAACTGGCACTTTTCACTGCATCCTTGCAGCATCCTTGCAGCTTTTGGGCCTTGGCTTTCACGTGGTGCTGTCACTGTACCCGGCGTCCACCCAGCTCTAAGTCACTGTATCCAAAGTAACGGAAACCGCCCGGAAGAAAGAGGCATTTGATGCGCATAGCTTGTGCAGCTCGCCGGCCTTGGAGCCTTGGGTACGTGACCTGCTTTCCGGTAATTCGGACTTGAAAAAATGAAACCTGGGAGATCATTGGAGCTGCGTCATGCTCGCTGTTGTCCTTTGAGTTTGTCAGTGTCAGATCTGAGGGATCTGAGGCTTGCTCTGAAAACACAATTGAAACATGTTGCAGCCACTTGATCGTCCAGAAACAAATAATCTCTTCCCCATGGATTACCAGATTACCACATCACGAATATCAAATCTACAAGACCTTGCACTTGTTTGTGGGCGTTCACCATCTTTCGCTCATGTTCAGCAAAGTCGGAGAAACTCCGCAATATGACTTCCAAATGTGCCCTTTTTCTCCGCCTAATTTCGGCTAGTCAAGAAAACGCTTGGCACGCACACGTACAAGCGTATTCCAATGATTCACTATCTGAATCCAGCTTTGACGCTTTGACGTGGGCTTGCGAAATGAATCCAACTTTGATTTCTTCGACTCTTGTCAAGGCACAAAAACACCACTGTGCTGCAAAGAGTGAGCACGCCAAAAAAAATATATTACCTTCATGACCTATCTTTTCTAGGTCATATCACGTCATATCTATGTCTTATCTATCTTGCTTCTGATTTTCGCTAACATTAACCCACGGAACCTAACGACCTGACTGTACAGGTGAAAAGCAAAAACGCAGGTTGCCACGGTTGCCATGTGTACACCTTGCTATTCGGAGTCAACCGTGCTGTCCAAGACCAAGCAAAACGATCTTCCTTTTCCAGGAGGCAACGGAATGTGGTGAAATGTTTCGAAACCATCCTTGGGTTGACACCAAATCTTTAGTCAAACTTTTGGGCGGATTCACACGCTTCACCATGAGTCTTCCTGCCGTTCAAGCAACGTTCAAGCAACATTCAAGCAACGGGCAACACTCACACACCACTCGTGCCTTCAAAATCTTCGGATCACATGCCATTTGCAATGTGCAGAACAGAGCAGAGCAGAGCAGCAGAGCAAGACATGAAAGGTCACATGACGGAAATCACATGACGGAAGGACCAAGCCACTGGTGCCAAAAGCATCCGGAGATCGACCAACAGGAAGTTCCTCCAGTCCCGTGTGCCACGAGGTCGGATCAACGTGAGAAGTCTGTACCTAACTGCATTGGATATCAATGTACCTAAGATTAAATATCATTAGATAAGGGAAACGAATCTGGAGACTACCATAGACTGCCTTATTCTTGTTTGAAGCTGACTCAAACAAACCCATTTTTTATTGTCTTGAGATGTCAATGAGATGGTAATTGCTCAAGACTCAATTGCTGTGTTTTTTACCTTTCGGCCATTGGACATGAGCCATCAAAAACCTTGAAAGCCTTACGAAAACCTTTGCCATCTGTGCCTCAAAAATGAAATATACAGGGCGCTTCACTCTTGGTACATTATCCGCCGACCCCGCTTGCAGCAGGGGGAGCGCGTCACAGGAGAAAAATATCAGCAGCAAGGAGCAAGAAGCATTCATCACCATCAAGGTGTCTGCGAGCCCAGACCCAAAGACCCCGTCCGGCCTTCACTCCGGAGGCTTGCGAGCGGGAATTTCGAGCTAGTTTCTTGTCGGTTCAGAAAGCAACGTTAGGCAGAGGCAGCCGCAGGCCCAAAGACCCAGGACAGCTCAGCTGCGTCAGACAAGATGCAAATTGGGCGGGGCGCAGGTTGCCTTCCGTGCGGGCACCAAACGCACGAGGCCAACCGTGTAGGCAGTAAATGCACCAGGCCTACCGTGCGGGCAGCAAATG